TTGTTATCCGTAAAAAAATTTTTCCGGGAAAATTGTTTTAGATAGGGGCCCCTAAAAAAAATTTGCCCCGGGCCCCCGCCAACCTCTGGGCGGCCCTGGATGTGGTTTGTGAGATTGCCCACTGGTATGTCCTTGATAGGACTAGAGCAGCCTATGAGAGCTTTAAAAGTGGAATAACATGCTTAGGTTTGCTTGATGCTGTTATTAAGAATTATGATTTGTTCCAAAGAGTGTTTTGTTTCTATCCACAAGTTTTAAGTTCTGATTCATTTGAGCAACTTTTCGTTGTGAATAGAAGTGAACAGCTCTCCAACAGATGGGAGGTAGAGAACAGACTTCTCGCGTTTTGGAGAGATTTCCTGTTGGATGTTGAGGAAAAGGAATGTGAACTCAGTTTTTCTGACATTCTATTTTTTGCATCAGGGTTGAGGGTTGTTCCTTGTCGAAGCATTTTACTGCAGTTAGGAATTCTTGCATGAACCAGAAGAAAATGGTCTTCTCTCAAAGTTTCCTAAAGCAAACACTTGCTCCTGCATTCTCCGTCTTCCTGTTGTTCACACTCAGTATGTTGACTTCAAATCTGATTTTCAGTTTGCTGTTAGAAATGCTAAGGGTTTTGGTATACCTTAGTTGAACACAAGAATGTACGTTTATTGGGGGAAACTCGAGTGATTGAGTTGACTGTATATTAGTGTACTTTGATATTGTTCCAGTTGGATTACCACACTTGTTAGGGTGCCTGTGAACATGTTTTTTTGGTTCATTGTTTTCAACTCCCACAAACATTCGATTGTTGATTGCTTTCAACACCCACAGCATCTCGTTTGGTTGAAAGGCTCTCTTTTTGTTCTCTTATTGGACCCTTTAATCTGCCTTTATTATTAAGGTTAAAGTAAACAATTTATTACGTATAGTTACTATTAGCGGTAGTTGAAACGTGGGAAACAATTGAAATTAACAAATTTGTTTGTCTATTCACAGTTTTTTGAAAACTGTTACCATACTTGGTGTCAATGTTACTTAAATATATGCAGTATTTATGTTTATCTTATAAACAATTTTTATAATTAAATTTTGTTGTGTTTAGAATATATATATATATATATATATATATATATATATATATAGAGGAACTACTGCAACATACCAAGAGAGAGAAGATAATTTTATTTCCGTTGGTTGTCGACTTCAACCCCAGGCTTCCCGATATAGGAAAAATCCTGAAGAAACACTTTCACCTTATCCAGGATTCATCAGAGTTACAAGAGATTTTTCCACCTAGATCTATAATACCATCCTTCAGAAGGCCAAAAACTATCAAAGAAATTCTTTGTACGAAACGACGGCAGAAAACGAGCGGGGATCAAAATCCAAAAGGGTGTTATAAATATGGAAAGAAGTGTGAATTTTGCAACAACTACATGCATGAGTCTAGTACATTTGTCAGTAGTCAGACGGGGGTAAAGTACCCAATTAAACAGAACATTTGTTGCAATTCTCAAAATGTTGTGTACCTAGTAACATGTATTAAGTGCTCACGGCAATACATTGGATCCACGAGCACAGAACTGAAGGTCCGCTTTCGTAATCACAAGTCCACGATGATTAACAATAAAAGGACATGCGAAGTAGCGACGCATTTCAACAAAACACCACATGATTTGTCGGACTTCAAGTTTATAGGCATAGAACAGATAGTTAATGACAGTGATTTAAACACTACTGAGAAGCGATTGTTGACAAGAGAAGCATACTGGAGTGCGCAGTTATGCACTTTAAAACCTTACGGTCTCAATAAGAGATGCGAATTCAGGTCGAAGAACAGAATAAACTTTAGTAATTAGAAACAATTTAAATATTTCGCAATAATAGGCCACATTTTTAACATCCCTAGAGTATTCTCATTTAGTCCTTAATTAGTTCTTAATTATTCATAGGTTAGGTTATAAATCGCATGAGTTAACTTCCTTGTGTTTTTAACTTTTTACACTGATGAAGCCTGTTTTGGCGAAACGTTTGTAATAAAACATTATTATTGATCTATCTGGAGTTCGCATTTCCTTCTGTATACCTATATACGGTATATATATATATATATATATATATATATATATATATATATATATATATATATATATATATATATATATATATATACCGGGTGGCCCAAAAAAAAGTACTCCTGTTTGATTCGTAATAACTTCTAAACAAGTAAAGTTTTTAAAGAGAAATAACTTGCATTAAATAGAGGAAGGACTAACTTAGATTTTGATATATTACAGTTGTATTTAACTTAAAAATTCACGGATATATTAATGTTAAAAATGGGGAGCATATTTTGGAATGTGTCTAAAATTAGCGAAAATCGGCATATCAAATATTAACTCCAGCGTTTGTTTGCTTAATGACATATTAGGCTAACTTGTATTTCAGCGAATTATCGTTAAGGTTTGTAAGGGATATGGCGTAGATTTAGACATCTTACATGTAAGTCTTAGCTCATTGTTTCCTGAAATATGAACGTTCGAAATTATGCAAGTATTTAATATTAGGTCTTTGCAAACTTAAATGTACATGAAAGACTGACCATGGAAGGCAGGCGCTTAAATTTTTCGTATTCTTAAATAGCCTAATTTTTTTATGTTTTTAATGGGTTCAAACAGACTGAGTAGATTATTTCTCGGTTAGAGCAGGATGAATATTCTTTATTGAAGGAAATAATATTGCTTTTTGCAAATACACATCACCGTATCAACGCTACTATTTTGTTACGTTTTGTTCCAAAAATGTTGCATGTCTCTGGGGAGTTGCTTAATTGTTATGTCTTATGGAGTTGTATGGTTTGATTGTGTTTCATATAATTCTCAGTTTACTCCATGAACTTGCCAAGATTAAGAAACGGCAAAAGAGTTTGGGTGTTCTTAACAAGATTTCAGAACGTTGCAGAAGTTAGAAGAGCTTCACAGTTCCGTTGTGACAGCATGCCCTAATTCAGAACTACGAACGATCCAATGACGATCCTTCGCGATGCAGTGGTCTCATGAAATAAGGAAACGTATTCGTGCTAGGAACACACGCGAATTTCGGACGAATGAATCTTGCTTGTATTTTGTAGATATAATAATACTTTGTTTCATAATAAACAATTTGTCAAGTGTCATTTATTTACTGGTAATAGTGCATGTTTCAGTCGGGCAAATCTTGATTAATATTTGATACGCCGATTTTTGCATATTTCAGACACATCCAGAAATATCCTCCCGAATTTAAAGATTAATATCTCCGTGAATTTTTAAGTGAAATACAACTGTAATATATCAAAGTCTAAGTTAGTCCTTCCTCTATTTGATGCAAGTTATTTCTCTTTAAAAGCTATACTTGTTTAGATGTTATTACGAATCAAACAGGAGTACTTTTTTTTGGGCCACCCGGTATATATATATATATATATATATATAATATATATATATATATATATATATATATATATATATATATATATATATATATATATATATATATATATATACGTATATATATATAATTCAAACGGTTGTCTTTGCAAACATTAAACTCTAAGCGTGTAAAGCTTAGTTGGATCGCAAGTTTCAAGTTTATTAGCTGAAGATTGCATCTACTTGTGAGTGAATAGGGAGTCCCATGTATGATTTCTAAACTAATTAAATGATGTTCCCATTATGCTTAGCATGCTTAAAGTTTAAAGTTTTAGAGTTTAAGGTTGATCCAGCATGATCTGGTGTGGTGTTCTGCCAGCTCTGGTTCCGAGTTGCATTGGTGATGTGCACCGCCCGCCCATCGCTAGTCTTGTATCTGAATTGTAATTGTTCACAGTTCGCTAATATTTGTTTCTCTATCATGAAATATAGCTCCCACTCTGGGTCAGGACTAGGGAGGAGGTGCACCCCCCTTCCTCCAAGTAAATTCATCTCTGTTGCAAAAAACAGCCTTTATTGAATTATATATATATATATATATACCATTGTTCTCAATAAACTTTTACTAAACTGTTTCGCATTGTGATTTCATGTACTTGTATTGGATTTTATACTTATATTTTATGTATATCTGTACATCAAATACCCTGGATTCCAGAGCCTTCGACAGTAAATAATAAATTGAAACGTCGCGAAGGCTCTGGTTCAACGGGGAGATTCTTTGATTAAACAGATTCTGTACTAAAACCACTAATTCTGTTTTGTGATTGGCGCGGTTTAATCAAAGAATCTTCCCGTTGAACCAGAGCCTTCGCGACGTTTCAATTTATTATTTACTGTCGAAGGCTCTGGAATCCATGGTATACATCAAACAGCCCTAGTATGTTCACTATGTTGTTTGTCCACGTTGTTCTGAAATTATTGCTCTAACGCAATTTCGTACAACGTAATATTGTTCCATAATGTCATCTCCGTGATGGCTGCTTATTTCGGATAAAGTTTCATTCAACTCAATTCTCATTTCATCGGCCACTGGAAATACTGTTTCCGGGACTTCCAGTGTAGTTGCAATGGCTTCATCCCCCATAGGTATAGGACCAGTCCAATCAATACCAAAAAGGTCCCAGTTATTGCTGTCTGGTTGAGGGACATTTATACTACTCCAACGCATGCCAGTGATCCAAAGCTGCAAAGGGCTTCGATTGTGCTCAGTTCTTAGTGGATGTCGTATCCATGCTTCAACCCAACGAGATAAACAATCATTTATTTCCTTCAAAAATACATAATGAAGACACCATAGGTCAGTTTCGTCGCAAGGATCTAGTATGCCATAATCTTCCATTAAATAGAAAAGAATGTAAAACGGTTTCAACACTCCCTGAAAGACATTACGCCACAGCCGCTCTATCCGCTGATTGTGTACACTTTTGCCAGTTATTGCAGACCCACGATCTGGCCCTCGCATCGGATGATTAATCATATAACGAGTAACATCGACATTCTCTCCTCCGTTGTCACATCGCACTCTTGATGGGAGGCCCCAATCATCTACAGCCTTTACAAAAAGTGCTAGAACAGTGTTCGCCTTATTGTTGTTGCTGCACTTTACGTACACAGGTATGCGGGTATACCCGTCAACACATCCGTGCACAACCAAGCGCCAGCGTATTAGTTTATGATTTCCGTCAAAGTGCCATAAAGCAAGAGGACGTGAAACATTATAGACCCTTCGATGAACTGTTCTACAACGCCGAGCTTGAATACCCAATGGATCAACCCTAGTTAGGGATTCCCTAACACGCCTTCTTTGAACATGGATATTTCTTGCTCGAAGATATCCAGATAATAATTTGGAACCACAATCCGGTGACGAGCTTTTGATTTCACTCACTATGGCATCCAATCGCTCATCATTTATTGCAGTGAACCTATTCATGTTTGTTAGCTCATATTGACTCGTTCTTCTTTCAACTGTTCTTTTGGATACGCCGAGTATGTCACTCATCTCTTTGACTGTGAAATTGCAATCCATCAAATACTCGACTTGCTTCCTTGAAATAATTAACGAAGGACGACCAACCGAACTAGTGCCATCATTGAGTTGTGCTTGATTGTTATTTCTTCTGATATCGTTAGTGTTCCTCGACAGCAGGTTATGTGCTTGCATGGGCGTACCGGAAGGAAAAAATTAGGGGGGCGGTAAGAAATTTGCCCGACTTTTCGGGATTGTGCCCGACTAGTACCGAAAAAATTTTTTCCGGAAAAATAATTTCGGCGACCTCCCCCCCCCCCCTTCGCCAAAAAAGGTCAGTGTACCATTTTAGGGGTCCAAAAATTTTTCCGGACATACAAAAATTTTTCGGAACATCACACAAATTTTCCAAACAACACTAAATTTACCACAAAATTGACTTAATTTCCGACTAAATTGACATAATTAGTGCCATTTATTTTTATTACAAACCAAAATTGCCCGACTGTTGATCGAATATTGCCCGACTGCCCAAAAAACTGGGGGGGCTACCGCCCCCCCCCGCCCGGTACGCCTATGTGTGCTTGCATTAAACAACACAAAACATTTTCTGAAACTGTTTCAAAAGAGTCCAACAAAACAACACATTGCATCAACGTTTCAATTGTTTCTAAAAAACTAGGTATATCTAACAAGTTATTATTGGTTTGCTCTGTAAGTAGTTGCTCCACAGAACACAGTTTTCTATACACCATTTCTCTCAAATTCAAGTTATCACCAACATAGTTTTCCGCCATTTTGAACGTGTGCTGAAAAGTGAATTTTCAATGACTTCCGGTCCACATGGCCGCGCTAGTCACAGACCTCTGGCTAATGAAAAATTGGTGCTGAATAATAAAAATAAGCTGAATAATAAAAATAAGCTGAATAATAAAAATAAGCTGAATAATAAAAATAAGCTGAATAATGAAAAATAAACTGAATAATAAAAATAAGCTGAATAATAAAAATAAGCTGAATAATAAAAATAAGCTGAATAATAAAAATAAGCTGAATAATAAAAAATAAGCTGAATAATAAAAATAAGCTGAATAATAAAAATAAGCTGAATAATAAAAATGAGCCGAATGATAAAAATAAACTGAATAATAATAAAAATATGTTGAATAATAATAAAAAATATGTTGAATAATAATAAAAATAAGCTGAATGATAAAAACAAGCTGAATAATAATAAAAATCAGCTGAATAATAATAAAAATATGCTGAATAATAATAAAAATGTGCTGAATAATACAAAATCAGCTGAATAATAATAAAAATAAGCTGGATAATAACAAAAATAAGCTGGATAATAACAAAAATAAGCTTAATAATAATAAAATATTCTAATAGCTAATAATAAAAATATTCTGAATAATAATATGAAAAATAATTAATAATATTGTATTTATATAATTTTGGCGGATATGGAACC